TGTTTCTTATTTGATATGTCCACACAACGTAAACTATTCTTTCCACTAAAATACGCAAATTAGATTACATATTAGTTTTTATTGACTTCATTTTTTTTTTTTTTGCCAAAAATTGTTCTTCCTCGGAAAAGTCTTTCCAGGGTTTATGCATTGCTGTCGTTTAAGTTTAACGTATTTTTCTTGAAAAGATTCTCAGTGTAAGATTTAACTGACTGAATACAGATGTTTAACCTAGTATTTAAAATTTGTTTTAGAATTTTTGAGATTAGCTACACAATGCCTACCTGCACATGCTGATCATAATTTCGAACTGATAATCCAGAGGAAAGGCAGCTAGCTAGTCAATAGCATCCATCGCCAACTCTTGGGTTGCTTTTATCTGATGGAATAGCTGGTTTTCCCCTTCGAACTGATAATCTATTATAGAGGGAAGGCAGTAGTCAATAGCGTCTATCGCCAACTCTTGGGTTGCTTTTATCTGATGGAATAGTGGGATTTCCTCGTCAATCTTATAACACACCCACAGCCTCAAAATGCAGAGCGCATTTTTGCAGCAACGGGACGCGAATCACGAACCCTCATATTCACAGAAGCTACTGTTATTTAAACAAATTATTTAGACTAAGGTTTATCAAGATAAATTAAGTTCTAGGAACACACAAGTTACATGAAAAACAAGATAAAACTAATAACCAAAGGGAGAAAAAAAAACACTTCAGAGGAATTATTTTATACTTTCATGGAAAGCGATAACAAGGTTACTAAATTATTTTATAAGTGACGGAGTCACCTGAATTTGTTAGCGTTGCTTGTTTCAAATATTGTGTAAAAGTCCATTTTGAAACTACGAAATGTTATGATTTCGCCCTGTGAACAAAGAAATTTGGAAGCTTGTACTTCTTTCTATAAACAGTACTTTGTTCTGTTGTAAATTGTATGCCCTCAAACATACGGTATTGTTTAGATTAATGATGTAGGCTAGAACACAGTGGCATTTTTATGTTAAACTTTAAAGGAAAGGTTATTTAGTATAGTCAGAATTTTCTGTTTTTCTTAGCCTATAAAATATTATCGTGCAATATCATAGAAAAAAAAAAGAAGCTGCCAAAAGCACGATATTAAAGTCAATGTTTTTATGTGTTTTTTAAAGCAAAACCACATTGCGCTATCTGCTGTGTCCACTGCGGAAATCGAACCCCGGATCTTACCATTGTAAGTCTGTAGACTTACCGCTGTCCCACCGAGGGACAAGGTCAATCTTAAAGAGTTGTAAAAGGTTGAATCTAATAGACATTAACATATTATTCACTTCAATGGTTACACAAAACTTTCGATGGCTTCGTATGTTTGTTGTTAGGCAACAAAGATACACAACTGGCTATCGGTGTCGTGCCCACCACGTGTATCGAAGCCCGGTTTTTAGTGTTATAAGCCTTCAGACTTACCGCTGAGCCACTTGGGGCCCACGGTTTTGTCTTGTTCTCCTTACTCTCATCCCCTTGTTTGTGATGTTTAATAAGCCATACATTTTACATACTCTCATGAACCGAAAGTATTGGTCACGTTTCTCTGGAAATGACTAAAACTACTCATTCACTTTAGGCTTCCATTACCCGCGAAAACACTCTTAATGATAACCTATTGCTTTGTTAGCTGATTTTAACAAAGGGTTGCAGGGCATCGCTATGATATATATTTTGTGAGTTGTTATAGGTTTACAGGATAGTATTGTGATATGTATTGTATCTTGGCTGCTCACTTACTTTATGCTTGTAGCTCATCAAGGTTTGAGCCTCTGTGTTTTTGGATGCGTAATTCTGTGCATTATTGTTTTGCTGCTTAAACAAAGGGCCAGAAAACATTTCCACGGGTAAGTGTTTTTGGAGAAGGTTTTAGAGCAGATGTTCTTCAACGAGCTTTACAATAATGCAGCTAACTCATTTAGAAAACAATAAATAAAACTTTATGCATAAAAACAAAAATATCGCAGGTCGAACCTCGATATTCTGACCACCAGCCAAGAACGCTAACCTCTCGGCTTACGCCTGATCCATTAGTTAATAAGTTAGTTATTTAGCAACTAATCCTGAATTTTCGAAAAATATCAGTAATTGGGAGTAGTGCTTAGGTAGTATTTATATAACTTTTTCATGAATATCAGAGTAAAGAAAAGGCAAGAATACTTCACGAGTGCGAGTGTTTCTGCTTCTATAAAAATGGTGTTTCTTCTGGCTTTACGTCGTTGGACAATTTCTCTATATAGAACATACTTCCTCAGAATAATTGTGACTTATCCTTTGGTGGTTAGTTAGCTGTGGCAGTATTGTATTGTCAAATAACCAGAAATTCGCCTTGTACCATGTATAAAGGTATTAAGCATGTCGCCCCTGATGCCAAGGCAATACACTTCACACCATTCTTATAAAGTGTGACTAACCATTGTAACATTCGTGATTTTCCCTAAGTAAGATTTCTTTCTATGATAAAAACTGAAAGTCAGTTTTTCTAAATAGTCTTCTGCACTTATTTTTGGTGACGTTATTTTGGCTTTAATGATAAAATTCAAACTTAAATTTAAATCGTATTCCATCACAATTTAACTGATGTGTGAAACTTTTATAATATTATGAAACAATACTAATACAATAATTAACACTATTGAGCGAAACGTGTCATCGGCAGTGGATATGACAGACATAATGTGGTTTAAATACTATTATTAAGGACTGAATAAGAAAATTTAGTGTTAAAAAATATAGTAGGACTGATATTAATGTCCTATGACAAGTATTTCTCATTATAATCATACTTCGCCAACATAGAAAAGGCTTCACACCATAACTAGTTAAACCTAAGAAAGTATTATATTTTATCACTGTTGAAACACCTCACGAAGCTGAAAGTTATCTGTTATAGTTATAGCACATTTTTCTCAGAGTTTAATCACAATAGCTGTAGCTATGCAATACATTAATTAAACATCCTTAGATGTTCATCCGAATGTTTTACTTTTTGGAGTTGAAATGCTCTTACTTCCATCTGTATAAGAAGAGGTAAAGTTTTACTAAAGTCTAAGCCAAATCGATATATATCAGTTAAAAGTTGCGTTAATCTAGACACTAAGATCCTGTTTTCAGATTTTATTGTTAAAATTAATTTGCATTTTCTTTTGATCGTAGCATTTTGCTGTTGTAATATAAAATGTTTACTAAGTAGTTACAATCAGAATTAGCTATAAAATTATGGCAGAATTATTTTTAATGAAGTCCAATTGCCGTTTCTGTAGCTTCAAAACACGTAGAAAGATATATTAAAAAAAAACAGTGCAAACGGGAGCCACAGTTAGCCTACCTTGTTCATTAGATACTCCTGGCGGTTCAATTCAGTGGTTACAAAATGGCCAGCCTGTAGTTTTAGAACTCTTCAGTTGTAAATTCTAGAACGTATCACGTGACGGGATTGCAGCGCTAACTATCCAAGAAGTATTTAGTTCGGATGAGGGAGTGTGGGAGTGTAATATACTCGCAGAAGATGGATCAGTTGGCAATAGAGCTGAAATATTGGAACTTGCTGTAATACGTATGCTATATATTTTTTTAAATTTCGTTAGCTTTGAAGACCAGGAATCCAATTAATTAAAAACATACACAAAAGCAAGTTGAACTACGTTTATTAGATATTAGATATAATGATATATGATTTGAAGTACATTTATTACATAGTAGATATAATTATATGTGAGTTAAAGTACATTTATTAGATAGTAGATATAATTATATGTGAGTTGAAGTACAATTATTAGATAGTAGGTATAATTATATGTGAGTTGAAGTACATTTATTAGATACTAGATATAATTATATGTGAGTTGAAGTACAATTATTAGATAAGGGGTTATGATAACACGTGAGCTGAAGTACAGTTAATAGATAAGGGGTTGTGATAATATGTGAGTTGAAATACAGTTAATAGATAAGGGGCTGTGATAACATGTGAGTTGAAGTACAGTTATTAGATAAGGGGTTGTGATAATATGTGAGCTGAAGTACAATTATTAGATAAGGGATTGTGATAACACGTGAGTTGGCGTACAATTATTAGATAAGTGTTGTAATAACACGTGAGTTGAAGTACAATTATTAGATGAAGGGGCTGTGATAACACGTGAGTTGAAGTACAGTTATTAGATAAGGGGTTATGATAACCCGTGAGCTGAAGTACAATTATTAGATAAGGGATTGTGATACTATGTGAGTTGAAATACAGTTAATAGATAATGGGCTGTGATAACATGTGAGTTGAAGTACAATTATTAGATAAAGGGTTATGACAGCACGTGAGTTGACGTACAATTATTAGATAAGGGGTTATGACAGCACGTGAGTTGACGTACAATTATTAGATAATGGGCTGTGATAACACATGAGTTGAAGTATAGTTATTAGATAAGGGGCTGTGATAACACGTGAGTTGAAGTACAGTTATTTGATAAGGAGCTGTGATAACACGTGACTTGTGTCCATCACTTTATCATCGAAACCTAAAGGGCTATATTTTAACATACAATATGTATTAAAGATAAAGTACATAGCTATGTTTTACCTTACAATATCTGTGTTTTTACAACGTTATATTTGGATTACAGTATGTACTGAAGGTAAAGTACAAAGCTATGTTTTATCTTAAAAATATCTATGTGCCCTATGCAATGTTATATTTCATATTATAATGTATGTGTGCTTTGCACAACGTTATATTTTATCTTAGAATATGCGCTAAAGATAAAGTACAAAGATGTTGTATTTTACGATGTCAGTGTGTTTTATAAATACTATATTTTATCTTAAAATATGTACTGAAGATACAGTATAAAGCTATATAGTATCTTACAACATCTGTTTTGCATATTCTAGGTCCGCCAGAAGAACCTTATTTAGATTATGAAAACAAAAGACTTCCCCAAGGTGCAATAATTACATTAAAAGAGTGGCAGGTGCTGATCCTCAAGTGCGTGACTGAAAACTCATCTCCTATACGGCGAATACAGTGGTTCTTGGAAACGACGAATGTCTCGTCGCATGGAAAGCTTTTCACAGAATTTCTACCAGGAAATGAAACATACCTAAGTTGGAGTTTGCTGTCTCTTAATATTACAAGAACGTTTGATAGAAAGGAACTGGTCTGTTTTGTCTCCCACGAATCGTGGGCTCAACCAGCTACAGCTGGTGTTTCACTTAACGTACTGTGTAAGTACATTTTTAATAAAAACTTCGTATAAACATTACCCACGACCATTTCTTTTCCAGTTTGACGTTTACCATGAACAATAAAATTAACTGATGACTAACATATAGAATATAATAAATACCCAGCCACTAGGTGACAGATTTATGTAACTGTGAAAATTAATATGAAATGTTATTGTTTTCGACTAATGATCCTTTGATTAATATCCTTAGAAAATGTTGCGAACATATATTTTTATTAGTAACTGTAAGTATTAAAATAAACATTTGGGTTGTTGCTTAATTATTATGTGCATAATTACACATCAAAATATTGTGTATGATCACACTTTTAATTGCTTACATTAAGCTAAAGTAAAATAATAAAGTTATATTTACGAAATAATGACATAATATTTAAATCAGATTATGCTTTTATTTACGTTCTTTTCTAAAATCTACGACAAGACACATAGTTCATTAAAGCTAAAGTCGTCACCAGGGAACGCTGCTTGTTATTAATCAATTACAAGTGTTTGTTTATTTGAAGTTAAGCACAAAGCTACACATAGGGCTATCTGTGCTCTGCTCAAAAAATTGAATAAAGAATAAATCGACATATTATCTACAAAATCTTAAGTAACAGAAATTTAACTCCAAAATCAAATGAAACTTAGAAACACAGCTGCTATGAATTCAACAAACTATGTAATGACGCTGTATCTATACAAGGTTATTCTCAGGTATTAGAGTCGTTCACTTGTAATTGGCCTCCCAGTGGCACAGCGGCATGTCTGCGGACTTACAACGCTAGAAACCGGGTGTCGATACCCGTGGCAGACGGCCCCACCTTTTCAATAAGCAGAATACCAGGCTTTGGGATTCCTGTAATTGAGGGTATGTTTGTGTCTCTAAGGTGTGACGTCGACGCTAATCCACCCAGCGACCCCTTGTGGTTGAAAGACGAAAGTCCTCAGGTGTCAACAGAAGGATATCTTAATTTTACTTTCATTACCAGAGAGCATGCTGGTTGGTACAAGTGTACCACAGAACATCTATTTGGTTATTTCGGTTCGTTCGGCTACTTTCTCAACGTGCGGTGTGAGTCAAAACTTTTATATTTGTCGGTCTGGTTTTAGGGTAGTAGTGGATTTATGTGTTGACTCAACATAAAATGTCGTGTAAAATAAACTGAATAACAATGAAAAAAATACACATGTATTTTATATGTAGATTTTTCTTCACTGTTTTGCTTTATTTATCGACCCCTCGCGGTTCTATTAAACGTCGTAAAACATTATCTTTATATGTATAAATCTATATATATCTATATACACAGACACACATTTTACGGTGCTGTATCAAACAGTACCGAAAAACACTTGAGTTAGTAAATGTTTATGATTCAGTAAAATATTTCTCCAAATGCAGATAAATTCGTTCAACGAATGAGACTTTTTACACGTTTTATCATTATCAGTTGAGCTACTAGGTGTGTGGTGGGGGGGGGGGAGAAGAAAGTGATACTTGCCCATATAAATGTGTACCAACATCTTTTTCTATATGTAGAAACAGTAGCATATAAGTCAAAAAAATATTTCATCCATTTCGAAAATTTAATATCTGCCTGTTGTTTTTATTCCAAAACCCTCGTTTATGTCACTCACTAGGATAAAAAAAAAAAACAGATTGTTCAATTCAATTTGAACTCCTAAAGCATCCTTGTAATAAAATAAAGAAAACAAAGCTTGGTAAGATTGTTTAAGGTATTATAATGTAAGAACAGACGCGGTTTATGAGATTTTTGGGTGTGAACTTTCCACTTTAAATTAGGTTAGAATCAAATGACTGTTTCGGTGGTATTTATACGAAGTGTAATACTACGTAGTGAAATCATTGGTATTTATATGATGTGTAATATTGCAAAGTGGAATTAGTAGGTTTTGCATGATGAATAATGATACGTGTTCGAATAGGTGGTAGTTAAATTACTATGTAACTGAAATCAACTGAAATTAGTTGTATTTATATGAAGTGTGATAGTACTTAGTGTGATCAGTAGTATTTATATGATGTATAATATTATGTAATGGAATCAATGGTATTTATATGATGTATAATATTATGTAATGGAATCAATGGTATTTATACGAAGTGTAATACTACATAAAGGAAATTAGTGGAATGTACAAGAAGTGGTATTTAAAAATGAAATGTAATACTATGTAGTGGAACTCAGCGGAATTTACAAGAAGTATAACATTACAGTGGGAAACAGCTGAATTTACATGAAGTGTAATATTATATAGTGAGAAAGATTGCGTATCCATTTCAATCTTGTTATTTTACTGTTACGAACAGTTAGTGCAGACTTTTTATTGATGGACAAAGTATTTCAGCATTTAAATTTTTGCTAGGTTCATGCCGGTATGATATGCTTAAATCTTTATTAGGCTCATACTGATAAAATCCAAGCTTAATTAGCTCATATTAGTACGATTTAATTGAGACTTTACTAGCCTCATACTCATATGATATACTTTAAACTTTAAGTAGCTCACACTAATGTGATAGAATTTAAGCTTATCTAAAGGTTAATGGTGATATGATGTAGTTTAAACTTTACTAGGTTCATACTGATATAATATTAGTTAGGTGTTATTATAGTCTTATGCTGATACGATACAGTCGAAGCTTTTCAGAGCTCAACACATACAACTGTTTGAAGTTTGGTTTTTTTCGCATACCTTGAAATACTGAATTTCGTCAAATCAGCTATGGATTTCTAAGAAGCTGGAGGGAAAATAAAGAAGAATATACGGCAGTATGTGGACTACTCTATAGTTTCTGTATCCAGTGTCGACGAGGCCTTTATCTTAGTTGTTTTATGAAGAAGTTTCATTGAACCTTAAACCTAAACACTGATATCTTCATATTTATAGCTATACTTTGAAACAAATGTAAATTTTGATTTCTACAGAATTAATATTTTGTTACATCAAGTGATAAGAAAGCGAGATCAAATCATTATCACAGTAATATGTTCAAACGTTAACTTGATCACATTATTAAAGTGATCCATTATTGAAATACCTGTTCGTTTGTTGTTAAGCAAAGGCTACACAATGGGCTAGCTGTGCTTGCCCATCACAGGTATCGAAACCCGGTTTTAGTGTTATTGGTCTGCACACTTACTGCTGAGCCAACTTACAGATATATAGTCTAGCTACCAAAATTAAAAGATCAAGCGTTTGTACATTTTATGTCTTATTTTTATACTTTAGGTGTCGCTTGTTTGTATTTAATTGCAAATTTACACAGTGGGCTTTTCGTTCTGCACATGCCGCGGGTGTTGGACTCCGAGTTTCAGCGTTATTAGCTCTCAAGCTTCCCGCTGAGCCTTCGGGGAGGGCCAGGAGAATACACACTTTAGAAATCACGGCTATTTTATATGATGCTTTCCTTTATCGCAGCTGCGCTAGACGTTAATGTTGTATGGAATTTTGCTACGCCTACTTGTGACATTAAAGTATAGAAAAAAATCAAAAGTTAATGGCCTATTTGTATTTTTCTAAGGCTTCTGTCTTATATTTTCCTCCCACAACAAAAACGAGCTTGTAATTAGTATAACATAAAAATACTTAATATATTTATCCAAAAGTTTGAAGTTTCATTTACTCATTAAAAGTAGACAAAGCAGGGAAGATTTTAGTTTAATCAGACATAAATTCATAAAATTTGGCCTGTATTCTAAGAATGCTTAAAATATTATTTTTGAAGCAGAACATACGCGATTTGCCAACTTAATCCATAATAAACTATCCATAATCCTCACATACACGTGTACACACACACACGCATATATATATATATGGTAAAAAGAAACATTTATAAAAATTAATTTAACACTAGTAGATATAGCTTTAATTATAAATAAAAATGTATAAAAGATCAATTTAATATCGTTAGATGGTTTGTTTGTTTTAATTATGCACAAAGCTACACAAGGGCTATCTGTGCTCTGCCCACCACGGGTATCGAAACCCGGTTTCTAGCATTGTAAGTCTGCAGACATACCGCTGTGCCACTGGGGGGCCGTTAGATGGAATTTTACAGTCCGTGATCGCACAATCACATTTACTGTATTTGTTTTTAATTAAAGTAAAACTGTTTGAAGTTTGAAATATATTTATCCTGGGTTTACATTATTTACTGATTAGAAAAAGTATTTCTTATTTTGGAGCAAAAAAAAAAAAAGAAAGTTATCAAATGTAAAGTATAAAATGTTTAGAGGTTACCACGTGACATTTATAATATAATTAATCAATAATCAATTATAATAGTCTGTTCTGGAATGTGGTCTTTGGTTGAACAAACTGAAAAATTATTTATACTTTTGAGAAAAATTATAAAAATAAGTTAAAAAATATTTAATTTTGTATTTCAATTTAATGAAATATTAAATCGATTTCATGATTTTTATTTCTACTGATAATTTTAATTTTTCATTTAATCCAAACAGTATATTAAATCATCTATATTAATTAACGAGTTAATTTTCAGTTATGATCCATATCGTTAGCTTGCTTTGACCTGAAGTTAAGAATAATAATATAAATAAAAAACTATTTGTGTGACCAAATAAAATATTATTTTTACTTCAATATTTCATATCATAACAAATTCTCATTACATTTGCCATGCGCTTTATTTAAAAAAAAAGACCCACAATCATAATTGCAAGTAATTAACTACAAATTATACCCCGTAGTTTCATAATATTTTAAGCAACTAAGTTTTCAATTAAATAGTTTTATTACTAATTCTACAAAATTTCCGCTAAATACTTATATGTTTACAGATGGTGCTGAAATTGTAGAAGAACCACCGAAGGAAGTGGAAGCAGAAACAGGAAGTTCTGTAGACTTGGAGTGCCAAGCTGATGGAAAACCTATTCCTTCTTACTGCTGGGCTAGGGTTCGGGACGCTGACCGAATCGAGGGTATTGGTACAGGAAAAAAACTTCACTTGGATCACGTCCACTATGAAGACGCAGGACGGTACAAGTGCATAGCATCCAATAGTATCGGATACAAATATGTATCAGCACAGACAAGAGACGTCAAAATTGATGTTAAGGGTTAGCAGTATTGATTCTTTATTCCATTAATGTTGGGGATTCAACTAAAAACGGGTACTTCACGTTACACAGAACTCGGAAATTTAAATTACAAAAATTATGTTTTTATTTGTTACGTCAAATGATTTTACCAATGATGAATGTGATCTAAATTCAAAATAACGAAAACAAAGGCCTGAAATAACGTTTAAAAAAAATGTGTACTTTTGTTCTATAAGTATCTAGATATATACTTTTTGCCCACAAACTTGAACAAAAAAGTGGTATTGATTTTTTTTTTTGAAGAGAGCCAATCAATATTTGTAACTTCAATTTTCACACACATATTTCATTACAACAAAAACGGTCCTTCGTTCTTATGATGCAGTTAAGTGCCAAACTGTATTCGGTTTATTTTACTTCTACGCCAGAAACAACAAGATCTAGTTGCTAGAGTTCCCGTTCTTTGATTCCTAGTATACATGGTTCGCGACTCGTTGTAGCTCGCTTCGCACTTTGAGACCATGGGTGCTTTATGAGAATGACGGCGAAATTCCATTATTCGACCAGAGGGAAGTAGCCCAAGAGTTTGTGGTGGTTGCTTTTGGCTAGCTGCCTTCTCTTTTGTCTGTCAGTTCCAAATTAGGGAAGGTTATATACAAATAATCCTTGTGAAGCTTTGCTCGAAATTCTTGTAAAACACGAACACAAACATTAAAAAAAATTTTTCATTAATATTAAGAACACAAACTTCTACTCATCTAATATAAGAATAAAGAAGGTTTCATAGATTTCAATAATAATATCACAAGATTCGTTACGTAGACAGATATTAAAGTAAGCATGTTCGAATGTTATTCTTGAAAATAAGCAATGAAATATATTAACACTTGTGCAAGTAGAAATACAATGGTCAGCCATCTAAGTGTTTCATACATCACACGTCTGTCGTATAAGGTGCATGCACCATTTTAACAAACGTCTTTTGTATATTCACATACATATGTATGTATACTATATTACTGAAAGTAACGGGATACTATAAGAAGTGTCATTTTTTCCCATTTTAACTGGGAATGGGCCCAAATTTGACGCAAATAACAGCCTGGACTCTGTTACTAACACTGTCATCAACCGCTGCTACACATTTGGTGGAAGAGACCGACCGCCACTCCTCTTCCAAAGCATCTCCTAGTTTAGTGAGGTTTTAGTATTTTTTGTTCCCTCAAATAATTTTCTACACTGTCTTAAAGCGATTCATTGGAGTTCGGATCGGGAATTTGGGCTGGCTTATGAAGATTTTGGAAGTTATTAATCATAAGTTACTGTTGGGCATAATGTGTCATATGGCGTGAAATGTTATGATACTGAAAAAAAAAAGGTATAGTGATTTACTTATGCAACGTTAACTAGGCATGTCGCAAAAAAGTATTCATGATTATTTTAATTAAATATAAGTAGAGAACCAAATCCAGACCCACTGAAACAGGCCCATTCTATGATCCTACCACAATACTCTTCATTGTTGGGATGACACAATCGTATCCAAAAACAATATCTCGGTTACAGCGAAATCTACACCTTGTCATCTGAAGCTCATTGTCTACAGTTTATGTGCTAGTTTGTAGTTCTGTAGTCTTGTTAAAGTCGTGGATTTTGTAGTATTTTCAGGATAAACTGATCTCCGTAAAGACTGTTAGGTTTAATAGCCCTATAATAGGAGAATCAGCAGCATAAATTAAAAAGTAAATTTAAATTTAGCTATTAAATTAGTTCAAGTTAATTAAGTATAAACAGAATGGACACGACGTGTGATACAAAACGAGAGAAAAGCTTTAATATATTTAATAGTGTGTGTATACTTGTGTTAGGACACTGGATGGTTGCCTCATATGGATTCGTGAATTGGTTAACCAGCTGTTTCCTCGAGATGTTTTACTGACAATCAACTCCTTCGAAATCATGTGCAGACTGTTTAAATCTAACATTTCTTATTTAACAGGAAACTTTAGATTTACCCATAGCAAATAGCACTAACACGTAACTGGTAATTCTCATTCAACATGGGGACCACGTATTATGCAAAAACTGCATAGACTCAGAATAAACAAAAATGTTTGAGAAAAATCTACATTAAAATAAGAAGGTAGAATACGAATGGTATGCCCACATACCACACTTTTTTTCCTTTTCTATTTCAGGCTTGGCCTGAATCGGACACTTAAAATTAACTTTGAAATCAATCAATTTTTGAGTCACGACATGGCTAAGAAGCACGCCAACTTTCTCTCTCCCATGTATATGGTTATATGTAGCTCAGATAACACAACCGTTAAACAATTAACAAATAAAAAAATTAGGAGCTATATTTTACAATGTACTACATAATACAGTAATAAAAAAGAAAACCATTGGAAATACATGAACATAAAAATGAAACATTTTAACCAACAAAACATAATACAAACTTTTTAAACCTATTAAATGATATACATATATATATTTATATAAACACACAAAAAAGAAACCCTTTAACAATGAAAAATATTCAATGCAAAAATAATTCATTTAATGTAGATTACAAGTGCACATGCACATATATAAAATGTCCTTAACACATTATGCACAAAAATAAATCAAAATGAAAAATAGTTAATATAGATAATAATATAAACATACCAAATCCTTCGACAACATTACACAATCCAATCAAAATTTAATATAACAAACAATACATAATCATAATACCAGTGTGGAATATAGGTCCTTTATACAAAAATAAGTAGTAAAACATTACAATACAAACTTTTAAGCTAAGATATAATTAGGAAGTTACAGAGACTTAAAACTAAAAATACTTTTTAATACTGATGCAAAAAACCACAACATACAGTGAAACAACACAAAATTAAACCCTTTAACACCAATATCTAAAAACAAAACATAATCAAAATAACATTGTCCATATATATACAACAGAATGTTCCATTAAAACATCTTTATATACAACATGAAGGAAAAATTAAATACAAATAAATTACAAGACATATTAACACAAGTTACATCAAAACTGGTGCCACAATTTCCTGATGACAGAGCTCCTGAGTGGGCACTTGTAATGCCTTTCTAACTGCAGTCGACCTGAGGCTTGATGTCTAGCATCTGCTTGACTTGATGATTTCTGAGGAGGTTGATCATTAGCTGATCTGCTATGGCTGACTTCTTCACCAAATTTGGCATCTCCTCATAATTGTCTTCTATTCATATGCTTGACTTGATGATTTCTGAGGAGGCTGATCATTAGCTGATCTGCTATGGCTGACTTCTTCACCAAATTTAGCATCTCCTCATAATTGTCTTCTATTGTACTGTTGGTTAAACACGTACTAGAAAATGCTTTGGGAAACTATTTGATAAAAAGAATGAAAAAGTACTGGCTAGTTGAAGAACAAGATAGTCAGAGACAACCAGCCACTTTACTTACTGTACCTATAAGCATGTCAGTATACACCTAGGTAGCAATTTGGTCATAATTACAAAACACTATCAGGACTTCACTCCAACTTGGACATATAACTGTCTGAGCAATTTTTTTTTGCTTTCTGGACAAGAAATAGTCCATTTCATGTGTGGCTTTTATAACTACGTTACTTGGTACCATTCATTTGTTGCAAACCACAAGATACCACTTGATACAGAAGTACTGTAATTCCCTGTGCTAAATATACTAATGCAGTTCAATGTTCCTGGGCTCGATCTGACCAACACTAGATAACTATCCCATAAAACGTCAGTTCACTTGTTGCACAGGTGAAACTGGCAAATAAGTTCCACAGTATGTCTATTCCTAAGATACTAGTGCTAGATCCGAGGTCGTAGATGATTACATCATTTTGTTATTAACATTTCCTAGTTACAATCAGAAATCTACCTCTCCACTTACACCCATTCTATCACCATTTACCATAATGAAGCTGGTGTTCATTGGCATGAATTTTGATAAAAGCGTTAGCACAAAAGATCACATATAAAGTGTAATAAACTTAAAATAAGACTCAAAACTCGAGCGTTTTAGTCAACTATTCGAAAGCGCTCGAGTTTTGGGTATTATTTTAAGTCCATTGGCATGAATGATGGTCTCACTTGGAAGGCTTGATATATCACAAGATATACCAATGTTTGGCTATTCCTATGTCAAACAGGAAGTTGATCTGTCGCTCTCGTACTCTCACAGGTATGTAACAAACCCCATCTAATCCTAAGAGAGCTGGGCTGACATCCAAATTCATTGGTGAAAACTGTCTGTTGTACTCCTCCAAGGCGATGGTAAGGCCTTACTTGAGCTCTATTAGTTTCCTGGAGCTGTAGAGGCAGTATCTACTACTTGCTGTAGTTTTTCCTGTACCTGTTGAGCCATCAGCTAAAACCAGTAGCCTTGCCTACTTTGTTGCTCGACAAAGTAACGACACTATTGTTTTTTCGGTACCTGTTGAGCCATCAGTTTGAACCAGTAGCCTTGTTGCCTTTACTACTTAGCAAAATATGGACAGTTCATTTTCATGTGCCCCAATAACTCACAAGTAAAACAGATACTTCCCTCCTTCCATCCCAGAAGACGTCCAGGTGGAGGCATCATTGGCACATACTATGGCATGTAAGCCATGGTTGGATTGAGATAACCCTGCCCATTCACTGGAAACCAGTGTAATTACATCACATCATTGAGAGGTGTGAATAGTTGGATAACCAACGGCATGGTTCGATTGTGTAGACTCTGAATAAACGAAAAAATGAAAAATTCTAATTAAAATATTATGGTAGAGAACGCCTGATACGCCTACATACTAAACTTTAATGTTAGGTGTGTGGCTTTGCTTCAAAGTTTGTGCAGAAAGAGAACAGATTAACTTGGGGCTGCCAGTTTGATATTCTATATTAGCAAGATCAATGTTGTTTTTCACTGCTTCATCACCTTAGTCACAGTGAATCAAATATTTTGGACACTCATACCACAAATGCTGCATTAAATGCTCATGTAGTTTCATGTTATTTCCCTCCTGGACTCCTACTTGTTCTCAGCTTATACTACTGCTATCTTTCATAATTTTTGCACAGCAGTGCGCCATAGATTCTATGTGCAAACTTATTGGGTGATAGGTCCATAACTGGCTAAGGATATGCTGTCCCAGTATTTTGGTGTGCACATGGTGTATGTATATGCATGTACATTAAAATATGACAACATAATTATGTTCGTTTTATTATCTAAAGAAAGTAAAAACGTAATACAACACTACATGAGCATCTTCAACTAAATATTAATTTAAATTGAACATCCCATTAACAATTACAATTGTTTCGATAAAGTATATTTTAAGGTTTAGAATACAGTGGAATAAGACCATAGTTTGAAGAAAAACAACAAAATCTAATGTGATTAGACTCAGAATTGTATTTATTGTGCACAAGCCATATGAAAAACCGTGCTTTGTTGGTCCACTAAGAGCCTAATAGTAACGAAAAAATTATTTCGCTGAAAACACGCTCTGTATCAGTGTCAGTCGTTGGGCGACTTTGGAGAGTTAGGTTCTCAGCGGGCCTCTTTCTCCCTTCACTGAAAAGCATATGAGCAGAGGCTCATTTTTAATTTGGCATCAATAAATAATTGAATGTTCTCATTCTCAAGAAACACTTTCGCCATCTATACGTTGTTCTTACATCTTTTACTTAAGGTCTGTTTAAATATTAAATAAAAAAGTTAAGCATTTTTAAAGCAGATGCACACGTCCATTTCTGTTTAGTATATTCGATAACGTAACTTCTATCTCATATATCTCTCATGTTATATGATTAACTAACAAACTATTACGTATCTGCTCGTTTGTTAATTTCCGGTATAAATTCTTTCCGAGGAATTTCAGCGATACAAGTCCTTTCTTAATTAAAACTAGTTTATTCTTTCTCGATACAACTTTGTAATATACAGAATTTCCACAGTCACTTTAAACTTAACAACCTTTATAACACTTACGTGCCTATTGTTTGCTTGACTCAATTATCTCTATCTTCAATCTTTTTGCATATCTATCTCTTACTGGCTTTATTTGCCGGTCTTATATACTAAAAAAGAAGGCGCCTGACAAACACTCAAACCTTCGCGGAGTTCCTTGATAAGTCATGATTCTTCTAGAAACTCCAGCGCGCATGCTTCCAGCGTCGCGTGACTTCCGCTGTCGTAACAAAACTTATAACTTTTGCGGCTTGATGGTTGTGCACGTAAGTCAAATCCAATTCAGAAACATGTTATTGTAGCAAAAAATATATAGATTGTAAATACAGTCATATATGTAATATGCAGATCAGTTACGGGTATAACATATGCAACACGTCACATTTTAATCTGATAGATCATGTGTATATAATTATCTAACTAGTTTGTCTGTTTTGTTGAGATAAAATCATGTGTGAACTTATAAGTTATTTTGCATGACGACTCAGTCAGTTGAGCCTCTAGTCCTGAATAAGTATATTTAATAAACCAATTCTCTTAATCGATTTTATAATATCGTATAAACTTTCTAAAATACAGTTTTTCTCTTTAACTTCTTTGACACTCATATACTTGTGACACATTTCCAAAAACACCACCTTCACTATAATTTAAAGGTAAAGTTTGTAATCTGGTTAGTTTTCTCACTAATGTGGGGAAGTTGCATTATTTCAACGTTTACGTTATTCACTTTGCATTATTAATTCCATTATATATTATACTTTCTTCATTAATTAACTAATTAAGCTAATATAATATAATTTTTTTCAGTGCTTCTCCTATTCATCATTTTGAGAATTTTATTGTATAAATTATGCCTTCCGTAGTCTTGACTTTAAAGAGTGTATTTAATTGCTTCAACTGAGACATCTGGGAATTATATTTTATTTGCCACCTAGGCAATAACATGTGTCTTCCTCTCTGTGACAGTTAGCAGTGAATGGGGTTGATATTGTATGCTTTTAATGACTTCAGTGAAGCACTTACGTGTTTTAGTGTGCAGATGATTGCTAATTACATTTCAATAACAGGACAATAACGACTTTCAATATACCGCAACCGCAATGCAAAACGTTAGAACGCTGTTCTGATGGATCGTAAACCCTGCTCCCATCAATAAGTATTGTGTTGTATACAGATCATATATGTATAATAGTTTAACGAGAAATTGTCTTTAACTGCCGAGACAATTTACCCACTCTGATCTGGGAGACGTTCATGGGAAAGTATGTGGTTTGTGTTATTATGTAAAAATACATCGGGTCTCTTTTACTATAGTTAAAAGTTAATTCTTTCCCTGCCATAGGATTTCCCTGAGTGTATTATAGTCTAGGCTTAGCAATTAGCAGGCTGAGTAAACCTAACGGCTGACTTAAAGGTCGAGGCGATTTTTCATACATAGTTTTAAATATTTGACAATGTTTTACTAAAAACAGGCTCCTTCACTTTGTAGATAGTAATTTAGCATATGATGATAGAGTTTAGAAATTCATAGGCAAAGTACAACGAACAATAGTGTAATAAATGTACTGTTCAATGTAGATATATAATATAAATTTATTAAAATATATTTTATATAAATGAGATTTTATCTAACGCAAATACTGACATACAGGATACAATAGCAATTTTCAGATGTATATCGATCGCGGAAAACTAATGTTTTGTCTAGTTTTCTTATTAATGGTAAAAAAACTATTTGATAAATGTTGAAAGCTGCGTTTTGCTTGGATTTCTTTTATGCATTTTCTAAGCGAGTTGAACTTCTAGGTTTTAGACTTATCTTCTTTGGTATATTGTCACGAACTAGTCATATTTTCTGTCTTATTAAGGTCATCACCGAAGTTGATAGCTTTGAACAAAAGTCCATCAAAGCACATTTATATATTTCTTACAGGAAAGCCAGAAGTAACACCTCTCAACAGAACTTTACTAGCCATCGCTGGAAAGTCAGCTCTGATTTTCGTACGCTACTGTAGTAACCCCCGTCCTTACCGTTCTCACTGGATAGTGCGTCATCTAGTGATTAGTCCAGGGGAAATACGCTTTGGGTACACTGCTTACAATGTAACAGTAAGTGTCAACCTCTGAACTAAGAAATCACTATTACTTTTCAGTTTCTTGAAAGAAAAGAGAATGTTTATAATTAGCATTTGATGTATATTTCAATTACTAAACTACAAAAACTTGAATATTGCATTATTAATGCATATTACACGAGTAAAAACTTTTAAGTTGGTTAATAAATTAGATTTTGCCAGAACAGTTTTATGACTTCGGGTGTGAATACATACACATAAGTAATTAAATTTACGTAGAATTGACTTAGTTGAGACCACTGATACACATACTTTACTATTACAAAGTATTTAAAAGGGAAGTTTTTTACACCCACCTACACAATAAATTAAGTCAGTCTTAATTCTACTTTTTCTATGATCAAGTACAATTACAAGATAGATTTTTATGTTTACTTATTGCAAGCTAACTTGTTATTTTACGTCTTTTTTATAGCCGTTAGCAACCCCCAACTGTTTTCGAGTTGCATTAATGATTTCAAGAGTGTCTCCTGAAGATGGAGGAGAAATTTTGTTCTTCGTGAAAAACAGAAAAGGCATTGACGATGCAGTAATCTTGCTAAACATCACTCAGGCTAGCTACTCTATATCAGAATGTGAGTTAAACTTATTGAAAATCATTCAGCTAAGCCAGTTGCTCTGTATCATACTGTGACTGTGTGAGCTAAGCTTGTTGAACATCACTCTGCTAACTTCTCTATATCATACTAAGAACTGAGGTTGTTAAACATCACTAAGGCTAACTACTCTATATCAGGATGTAAGCTAAGCTTGTTAAATATCACTTAGGCTAACTACTCTTTATCAGGATGTAAGCTAAGCTTGTTAAATATCACTTAGGCAAACTACTCTTTATCAGGATGTAAGCTAAGCTTGTTGAACATCACTAAGACTAATTATCCTATTTCAGAAAATAACTGAAGCTTAGTGGGGAGGCTCTTATTTGAATAATGTTACAGTATAAAATTGAATGACACTGTTGTAAAAAAATGCACTTGCTAATATATCAGGGCTACTTATTAAAAACACATAATTCTGCATAGTTTATGTTATACACTATTATAAAAAAAATTACATGTGAAGCTATTTGTATGAATGTAAACTGTTTTTTAGATATGATTAATTTATTTATTTATTATTGCTTCCCAAAATCTATATATTTTTAACTCAAGATCTAAATAGTAGTGTTACGTCTCTGTTCGTTAGTTAATTTTCCGTAAATTTGTTCCGACGAAACTTTAGCGACACAAGTCCTATCTTAAATAAAACTGGTTTAATCTTTCTGAATATAACTTTGCGATACACTTAATTTCAACAGTCGCGCCACAACAAACGCTACAATTCCCAACGAACGTCTCACGCGCTCGACTTCAACAATACTCAGTTCAATTACACATACATTCAATTACTCATCCACTGTTCCGTCAAGTTGTGACCGTCTTATATATACAAGACTAACACACATCTAGTAATCTCCCGACAATTCACGAAGGTTCGAGAAGGACGTGGCGTGATACTAGTCACGTGACCTCGCTGACGCAACAGTAGCAATAAGACAAAATTTATCAAGTGTTTAAAATAACATTTCAAAAATAAAAATACCCAATGTTGTGTTGAAACCAGCACGATGGTATTTAGTTTAAAAATTTATTGCTTATTGTACACATATAAGTAGATATGAATATACATATACAAATTCACTATGAACCTTTTCAACATTTAAGCATTATAAAATCAAATAATTATAAATAATTCTTAACTCATTTAATTAAGAATATTGTTTTGTGTGATTAAAAATAGACTAGTTAGATTTGAAATTTTGTGAAAAAAAAATATTTTTGAAAGTTTCCATTACAGAACTTACATGAGGCCTCAAAAAGTATTTAGTATTTGAAATGTTGAACTTGCTGTGTTATTTTTAATGATTTAGATTTATTGTATCTAGCAGTGAACTTGCTTACTTACTGTTGATTATAATGTGCCTAATCAGACACAATATTGGACTATCAGGTTCCACTAATAGCTGGAGAACTCAGGATGCCATCCTCCTCTTTATAACTTTTGCAATGCTTGCTGCTTGGGGAGAATCAAAGAGCTGTTTTTTGGGGAGTTGATAAACAGAAATTGTGTTGAAAAGTCAATGAAAGAATCAAATCTGTTTGAGGTAATATTGATTTTATGTTAATTTTCGAGATGGTATTTCACTGGCATATTTTGTTTTCCTTCTGGAAAATATGTATATATGAAATAATATTGTATAGGTTACATGATGTTTCTTTTCTAACTCTTGTTCTCATACTTTTTTATAACAAATTTGTATATTTCAAAAATACCTAACTGTTTTGTGATTTAACCTCTCAATTATATACATAAAGTAGTATTATGTACATTATATGGCAATTTTTAAAACTTATTTCATAACTGGTATCCACTAATTGTTCTTATAATAATATAAGTCTCACATTATTTTTTTGAAAAAGACAAAAGTGTTCTGCAATATATACTTCTCAATTATAGTGGGTCCTAATTTTTCACGATGATCAAAATAAAACCTGTGATGTGGTCTGGTATGTACTGGTTTTTTGAAATAAGGAATTAAATTTTTTATACTATAAAACATCTTTGTTCAGTATTTATATGCTTGGATTACAGCCTCATTGGACTTAATGGTGTGTGATTTACTTTTTTTAAATTAATAAAAACTAATAATAAATAAAATAATATATATTATTAATTATTCTATGGATTATATTAAAATACACAACTTCTTTTTCTTCTACAGGTCGAGAATCCAAAAAAGCCCTCAGAGAAAAATGACCAAACTAAATTAATGGGAGGTAATAAGTCTAGTTTGCAGAAATGAAACACAAGCAATTTATCATTTAGGCCTTTCAGAACAGTGAAGAGTTGTCTTTGACACATTCATTGAAATCACGTTGTAAAAAGAAAGTTCTTAATCAGTCTTTACTAATGGAGAATATATAATGCTTGTCACCAAGTAAACTAAAAGTGAATGAAAAATAATAATATTTACTTTAAAATGTTGTGATGCTCAGTGTTAAACCTGTTTCAAAAATAGAGGGTGTTCTGTCATTATATATATATATTAAGAAGTGGGGAGAGTATACTATGAACCACAAGATTTTAAGATGAAGATTGCCACAACCTCAAACTTAAAATTTCTTGATACAAATAAGAATTTTACTTTTACTAGCAACATGTTCTGATGTATGAGTATTTTTTTCAGAAAACACAGGAATATTTAACACAGGTTTGCTCATTGACTATCCTTTCATTAAAGTATCATGTGGATATTTAAAACAAGTTACATAAAAATGATCTATTTCTGTATAACAATTATTTTTCAAGATTACACAGTGAATGTGATATTTGTCATTGATCTGTCTCAGTTTAATTCATAGATTAAATTGATTGAAAGTCTTATTCATACGTGTTCTACCATGATTTATATATGAAAGATCTATACCACTGTAGCTAAGTTTAACAAGATTTGTCTGTATATTAAGAAGAAATTTAAACAGACAAAGTTCATAGCAATGATAAAACGTAATAATTATTGGCTTTTTTATTCTCCCAACATACTATACAATAAAAATATTTAGTTCCAAACTATTAACTTATAAATTCCTCATGCTATTTCCAAGATTGATCTCTAAGTAGAAACATACCAAGAAACAGATGTTGTTGGCACTTTAATTAGACTTGCAATTAATTCAATATATATATAGGCCACATGGACACTACATAATAGCAGAATTAACCTATTACTTAGGTTGTGTTTATAAGTCCAGAATCCCCTTTTTGCATAGCAAAAAAGAAAGAAAAAGGGCAAGTATAGATACTTTGTTTCTCAGTTTTGAAGCTCTTACATAAGGAATAATTACTCTGTTCCATAATGCAAATTGGAACGATAATCTCTTATTATTATCATATTTTAAAATCAATAATGACATATACTTATTTTAGTATCATTACAACTTGGCCTATATGTTTATATTCTAATCAAAACAAGCTACCTACTTAGAGTGAAACTAAAAAAATGCATCTGGTTTTGAGTAAAGCTAAGTAAGTGTACTTTTCTTACACTCTTACTTATAAAGATTTGAATGCAGTATTTCATCAGTTGGGTATCCTCACTGTATTTTCGGCCGTAATCCCAAAAAATATCTCACGACGTTCGGTAGCTTAGGAGACGGAGTTAGTACAGGATTTTTAAAAAAGTTGTAGGGTCCATAAACATTATATTTTGACTGTACTATATGTAATGTCCTGCTGCCACTTGACTCGGCACCTAAACAGTAGCATTTGTCTTAGTGATTTATCTTAGACGCCACGCTTCTCTAAATTTACACTGTCTTAATGGGCTTTCATTAGTCACCAGATGTTTTTAGGGTGAATAGTGTAAAGTTTTGTTTATATGCGGTTATAAAGATGTTATATTTTTCAACGAACATTAAATATACGACAGTACTTGAAGTCAACAGCTAGTGTGTGTGTGTGTGTTCCGTAAGTAATGTATACCCTATTATTTCTTTATTCCTGCTTTTATTAACACTATTGGTTAGAGTGTTTAATATATCTAATTTTATTTTTTGTTACAATACTTTTATTATAGAGATTGGTTTACATTGTTAGCTTAACATATCTTATTTAGGAGTAACTTAATGCGTAGAAAGAAAATTAGCACATCACATAGATTGTTAAATGTGTGTAAGAATAATTAATTCAACATCTAGGCTACACTAACACCATGCAATAAACAGAATCAGTTCACCACATAGATGGTAGTTTACAACATTATATAAATAATTCAGCATATACGCCATATTAACAATGTACATCAGTTAAATATGATTTATTATCCATCAAAATTAACACTTTAAGTAAATAAATATATATAGCAGAGCATGGTACTCATAACTTATCCTATACTTGACTGTCTTAACACTGCACAATGGACTGATGTGATACAGTTAAACGTGAGACTAGCATGTTGACTGTTTAAATAATTATTATTTATTATCAAAGAGAAAGAGTTGGCACATTATAATAAACAAAATCAATTCAGACGCTGCAGCGTTATTTACATCCATTTAGTTGAGATGTGTAATTTTTATAGTATTACATCTAGTCTCGGAAGCCTTGGTAATACAGTATTCTAGCCAAAGCTAATACGACCCACAGTGGTTTTATATAGTTAAGGAGTCATGTGTCAGTAGACCTCTAAAATTATTTTTCGCAGCTCTTACCCTGCTAAAACACTACACGTGTGGTACCACATGAAGCAGGGAAGCCTAAGGAATATTTGAAGACCACGTGACCCTTTCAGTGTTCACTCCAAGGCAAGTCGTGCAACATTTCATGATCTACCCTGCTTGTAAAGAAGAAACACGAGTGTTTGTCATATTTTATATATATTCATCACATCATACAATATGATAAACTTATAAAATGCTGCTTTATTAAATTAAATAATGTTTATGAAATTTTAATACTCTCTATTTACTATCAGTCGACATTTCTTGTTGCATTGACGCAATAAATCCAGTTACCGGATTCAGTTTCTTCATTTAAGATAGCAATCGAGGTCCCCTTTCTGGGGTTTCGAAAATATTCTTCACTTTCACGGGCACATGCCATAGTGCAAAGAAGCTTTTGTGAAAAAACAGCTGCATATTAGTCAACATCTGATGCTGCATTGTCACAATCACTTCTTTCACGGGATTCACTCACTTTCATCGTGTAGTACAGTATCTTTCATCTTCAGAGGCGCATGCTACAGAAGAAAGAATTCCTTGTGAAGAACAGCTGCAGCGCACCTGACACTGTGGTTCTTTGTAGACAAACAAATGTACAGGTTCGTCTTGCGATATTAGTGTAGGCTGTACTGTGTCTTCTTACATTTCCCATCCGATGTGTGATGGACAGGATGGATTGGCTTCAAGAGCCCCTTTGATAATTTGCTCGATTGAGGTTGTGATCAAGACAATGCGCGGAGGGAGGAAGAAACTAATTATGGGCCTGTTTTCTGCAGAAGACCTTGTTGCTTATTTTATTCACACCAGCACAATTTTTATCACGTATTTTGAAAATTATTTTGTGGCAAGTGTTTTCTAATTCTGCGAATGTCAGATAGTCTTGGATATTTTATCGAACATATGTTACAAGTCTCCCTTTCCTACAGTCAGGAGACCACTAGTTGAGTCACAGCCTGTCAAGGCATGTAATTCAGGGGAGAAAGAGCAAACAAGCTGTTTGCAGTATCATGGAGCTAGATATATCGATATTTATACTTTATATCCGTTTTGAACCATATATTTGGATTTAGCCTCGTGGAAGAATGGACAAGAAGGACTGTTACGTCTATGTCAAGTAACCAACAACAACATGATCCCGTTCTTCCACCACATTTGACGCATGAAGTCTAGTGTTAGCTTTTTCCTGGATGCTGTAGAGATGTTTCCCTGCCACAGATTTTGTGTTTGTTGCTCGCTGAACATTTTGACCTTGCTCAGATCCACCGACTCACAGCTAACTCGTCAATAAGAGAATCACATAGCACTCATTCTCAGGATGTGTTATGAACGCTTACCCGCAGCGCAGATATCATTTACGGCGGCGTTGGTGCAACTTCTCCTTTAAGTTGCACAACTGAAGTACCGTATTTTTCGGTATATAAGACGCACCGGTGTATAAGGCGCACCCTTATTTTGAACACAAAGTTTTTTGGGGAAAAAAGGCTACAGTCGCATTTGAAAGATTTTTGTTGAACAAAAATTCAATTTGATACTTTAAAAATTAGTACATATTGTTCTAAACACAAAAGAGCTCAAAACATCAAAATAAGAAAATACCGAAAATCAAAAAAATTTCACTGTAATTCTTTTTTTATTATTTAAGGAGCATTATAAATAGTTATG